GAGACCCGGTCCGTCTCGGGAGGGTAACAAGGGAAAGTGTTCAGTGCAGATCAGTGAGTAAGCACAAGCCCACCCGTGCTTACCTCGCTCCCGGTTACTAAGCACAAGCCTGGCCGTGCTTAGCTCGCTCCCGGGAACTAAGCACAAGCCCGCCATATGGAAATAAGTGAGCTGGTCAGGTATGAGATAACAGAAAGCTTAAGAGCTATGGAGAAGTAGAGCAAGTACCAAAAGGAGTTCAAATGCATTGTTATTATAAAGCTGAGGATGTTCACCTTCAGGTCTGTATGACCAAATATGTTCTAGAGGCATTTCAACTAAATATTAGCATTGCATCCATCAAATTCATTCATATACTCATTTAATAAACATTTGCTCAAATCCTGTTTTATTCCATAATTGAAATCAATTTTCCATGTTCAGAGGATCATAAATTTATTCAGAGAATATTCTCAGACTGAACTGCTAGATGTTTACATCCATTGTGTGCTCCCCAGATGTTGTTGTGAGCCACTCTTGTGTTGGCCCCAACTCATGGTAACCCCATGCACAATGGGACTAAATGCTACCTGGTTGTGTGCCATCCCCATGATAGGTTGCAGGTCAGACCATTGTGATCCATGGAGTGTTTGTTAGTTGATTTCCAGAAGTAGATGTTCATGCATTTCTTCTTAGTCTGTCTTTGTCTGGAAGCTCCACTGAAATTTATTCAGCATCCTAGCAACACACAAGACTCCAGTGCCAGATGTTGGCTGTGAATGAAGTGCATTGGCCTGGAATTGAACCTGGAAAACTGCATGGAAGGCAAGAATTCAACCACGGGGTCACCAATGTCTCACATGCTCCCAGAATATCTATCAATATTTCTATTATAGCATCTGTAGCCATCGATTAGACTTTTCCATGTACATGTCCACTCTATCTCTAGAATGTGACCACTTTGCTGGGTGCTGTCCCTAGTTCCAAAATGGAAGACCAAGAGGCTGTCATTAGAACAGAACAAGAGGATGCTGCATGTTTTAAAATCAGAAAAGTGGGCCTCAGGCTTGTTTCATTTCATTATACTTAATCAGTCTGTATGATGAATAAATTATCCAAGAACCTGGACTGTATGGAGAAGAGCAGATATCAGGATTGGAGAAAGACTCATTAACAACCTGTGACATGCAAGTGACACAACCTTGCTTCTGGAAAGTGAAGAGTACTGACTAATTAAGATCAAAGACTACAGCCTTCAGTATAATTACACCTCAACATAAAGAAAACAAGAGTCTTCACAATTGGGCTAATAAACAACATCATTGTAAACAGAGAAAAGATTGAAGTTGTCAAGGATTTCATTGTACTTGGATCTACAATCAATGCCCATGGAAGCAGCAGAAATCAAATGACATGTAGCATAGGGAAATTATGTCGCAAAAGATCTTTTTAAAGTGTTAACAGAAAAGATGTCACTTTGAGGAGTAAGGTGCCCCTGACACAAACCATGGTCTTTTCATGCACCTCAATGCACATAAAAGGTGGACAGTGAATAAGGAAGACCACAAAAGAATTGATGCAGTTGAATTATGGTGTTGGAGAACAATGTTGAATATACTGTTGACTTCAAGCAGAATGAACAAATCTGCCTTGGAAGAAGTACAGCCAGAAGCAAGAATGGTGAGACTTCATCTCACATACTTTGGCCATGTTTTCTAGAGGGACCAGTCCCTGGAAAAAGAAGTCATCCTTGGTAAAGTAGAGTGTCAGTGAAAAAGAGGAAGAACCTCAACAAGATGGATTGACACAGTGGCTGCAACAGTGGACTCGAGCACAGCGATGATAGTGAGGATGGCACAGGACCAGGGAGTGCTTCTTTCTGTTAC